ATTGCCAAACTCTTTTTATGAAGCTATAGTTACCCTGATACCAAAACTGCACAAAGACTCGACTAAGAAAGAAAATTACAGACCAATCTCACTCATAAACATGTATGTAAAATTTCTCAATGAAATACTGGAAAACCGAAACCAAGAATACATCAAAAAAAATCATCCATCATCCCAGAGATGCAAGACTGGTTCAACACACACTGTTGATGTAATCCATTATTAAATGACCTGAAAAAAATATATGATCATTTCACTAGATGCTGAAAAAGAATTTGACAAAACCCAACACCCCTACATGATAAAGGTCTTGGAGAGATTAGAGATACAAGGATCATATCTAAATATAATAAAAGCATTATACATCAAGATGAAAGCTAACATCAAGTTAAGTGGAGAGAAACTCAAAGCCATTCCACTAAATTCAGGAAGATGACAAGGCTGTCCACTCTCTCCATATCTCTTCAATATTGTGCTTGAAGTTTTAGCAATAGCAATAAGACAACATAAGGAGATAAAGGTAATTCAGTTTAAAAAGGAAGAAGTCATACTTTAGTTATTTGCAGATGATATGATAGTGTATATAAGTGACCCCAAAAACTCCTACAGCTGATAAATACCTTCAGTGACATGGCAGGATACAAGATCAACTAAAAAAATCAGTAGCTCTCCTATACACAAAGGATAAAGAAGCAGAGAGGAAAATCAGAGAAACATTACCTTTCACAATAGCCACAAATCACATAAAATATCTTGGAGGTTACACTAACCAAGGAAGTGAAAGATCTATTTGAAAAAAACTTTAAGTCTCTGAAGAAAGAAATTGAAGAAGATACCAGAAAATGGAAAGATCTCCAATGCTCTTGGATAGGATCAATCAAAATAGTAAAAATGGCAATCCTACCCAAAGCAATCTATAGATTCAATGCAATCCTCATCAAAATCCCAATGCAATTCTTTACAGACCCTAAGCAATAGAGCAGAGGGTACCTGAACTGACCTTGCCCTGTAGCCAGAATGATGATTACCTTAAATATCACCATAGAACCTTCATCCAACAACAGATGGAAACAGAGGCAGAGAACCACATCAGAGCCCTGGGCTGAGCTCCCAAGGTCCAGTTGAAGGGTGGAAGGAGTGAGGATATGAGCAAGGAGGTCAAGACCATGATGGGGTCACCCACTGAGACAGTTTGCCTGAGCTAATGGGAGCTCACCAGCTCCAACTGTACTGGGAGTGAAGGAGCATGGGAACAAACTAGTCCCTCTGAATGTGGTTGACAGTTGGGGCAGACCGAGGGGCCACTGGCAGTGGCACTGGGATTTGTCACTACTGCATGTACTGTTTTTTTGGGATCCTAATCTTGCTCAAACTAGATGTAGTAGAGAGAGCCTTTGACTTTCCACTGGGCAGGGTGCCTTGCCCTGGCTTAGGATTGGAGGGGGAAGGGTGGGAAGGTGTGTGGAGGGAGAGGGAGGAGGGGAGTAGGAATTTGGATTAGTATTTTTTAAAGTAATAATAATAAAAAAATAAGTTTCATCGAGTCCGGCAGTGGTGGAGCTCACCTTTAATCCCAGAACTCGGGAGGCAGAGGCAGGTGGATTTCCATGAGATTGAGGCCAGCCTGGTGTACAGAGTAAGTTCCAGGACAGGCTCCAAAGTTACAGAGAAACTCTGTCTCGAAAAAAAAAGTTTCATCTTAAAAACATAAGTCTATGTTATTTTGTTTGATAAAATAATGTCTATTTAAGAATTAGATTATTTGAACATGCATTCTAAAGAGTTTAAAAACAAAATTTGATATTAGTAAGTTGCTCTAAAATCTTTCAACACAAAGAGTATATCAATACACACAGAAACCTGATGTGGGATTCCCCTCTGTATGCTGTGAATACCATTGGTTAATAAAGAAACTGACTTGAGCCCATGATAAGGTAGAGTAGAGCTAGGCAGGGAAAGCTAAACTGAATGCTGAAAGAAAGGAGGCAGAGTCAGGGAGAAGCCATGGAGCCAGCACTGGAGATAGATAGGCCTGAACCTTGCCAGTAGGCCACAAATCTCATGGTAAAATATAAAATTATAGAAATGGGTTAAATTAAGATGTAAAAGCTAGCCAATAAGAAGTTAGAGATGCAGCATTGTTTGCCATAGCCAGAATCTGGAAACAATCTAAATGCCCCTCTACTGAAGAATGCATAAGGAAAATGTGGTATATTTACACAATGGAGTACTACACAGCAAAAAAAAAAAAATAACCACATCTTGAATTTTGCAGGCAAATGGATGGAACTAGAAAAGATCATTGTGAGTGAGGTAGCCCAGACCCAGAAAGACAATTATCACATGTACTCACTCATAAGTAGTTTTTAAACATAAAGCAAAGAAAACCAGCCTACAAATCACAATCCCAGAGAACCTAGACAACAATGAGGACACCAAGAGAGACATATAGATCTAATCTACATGGGAAGTAGAAAAAGACAAGATCTCCTGAGTAAATTGGGAGCATGGGGACCGTCGGAGAGGATTGAAGGGGAGGGGAGAGGCAGGAAGAGGAGCAGAGATAAACTTAGAGCTCAATAAAAATAATAAAAAAAGAAGTTAGAGCTAATAGGTCAAGCAGCAACTTCATTAGTATAGCTTCTGTGTGGTTATTTCTGGAATTTGGGTGGCTGGGAAACGAACAAGCAGACTCCTACTACAGAAGCCAGTTGGACAAAATATCAGTTACTCGGTGGTTCCCTGTCATACGGTCTTTATTACAGTAATACTTTCATGTGTATATGTTAGAACTGTTTATAATAAGATTTATTCTGTCAACAATGACTGATAACTACCCCTAAGTAAACAGTCAGAAAGGAAATATTCAGAACAAACACCAATAAAGCCACTTACAATTAATTAGTACATATTTCAGCAACTTTCATTAGTTACAAAATGACAACATTTTGCATGTTTATTTTTATTAATTTTAATTATGTGTCTGTTTACTGGTGAGTGCATGTGAGTATAGGTTAAACAATTCCCATCCACTTTTAATGATACCAACTCTTTATTTTTTAATTTTTTATTAATTTAACATGTGTGTCTCTGTGTGGTGATATATGTGCCAGTGAACCTGTACATGTGTGTATGTGTATGTAGAAGTCAGAGGAAAGCCCCAGGAACTGTTCCCTAGATAGTCTACATTGTTTCTGAGACAGGGTCTGCCATTTGAACTGGCTTATGCTGGTTGGCCAGTGAGCCCCATGGGTCTGCCTGTCTTGGACTCCCCAGGCCTCGTCTTACAAATGCATGTCATCAAACTCAGCTTTTATTTGGGTGCTTTTATTAGGGGGCTCTTCTGTCTGAGTTGTCTTCCCAAGCACTATGTATTTTGCTTATTCATTCAGTGATTTAGAGGCAGAACCCAGGGCCCTCTGAGTGGTAGGCACGGTATTCTATCACCAAGCTATGCCCTAAGACTAATGTCTTCCTTAGGTAATCTCTATGTGCACAGAGGGCTGTGAAGGTATACAGCAGGTGACCCACCAGATGAATGGCTCTCTGATGGGGAGGGCCACCTGGTAATGCCATGGAATTACTGACTGTAAATGACCACTTGTCCCTGTCTGTAAGTTCTCTCATGTGCCACTTCATTTCTTCCCTAAGAACTGCTGTGGATGTTTTCCCATGGCTTGTGTTTATCTCATGTAAATATTCCATCTACTGGGCACACATATAGCTTAAGCTGTATGGTTGTGATGAACAGAAGTAACACTGGGATAGTTTTCATTATTCAGACTGATATAAGAAAGTAATAGTATTCTCAGTCACAAAGATAGCTAATTTTAGACTTCAGAACAAATTCAAAGCAACCTGGTTACCCCTGGAGATGAATATCTGGTTACTCCTGAAGACAAATGTACAAGGTCATTTTCCTAGGTATTATTTATTGCTGATTCCGACTAGAAGCAATTTAGCAAACATAACTTTCTCAGTAATTGACTTTTTGCACATAGTGCAAGCATTAGTTTATATTACAGGCTCAAGGTTCAGCCAACTAACTTAACTGTTTATTTTCTGTCTGGAAACCCTGAGAACCCTAACATTTAGGCTTCATGGCCAAGTTTTACTCACTGGCCAGTCAATGTGACATCCCAAGCCTACAAGAAATTGTGTGGCTTATCTTGTGTTATGAGAAAGTGTTGGACCTGAAAATGTAATTTTTCAAAGTTTGGCTGTGAGAGGAGTAGAAGTTTACAGAGAGGAAGCTGTGCAGGAGAAGACAGCTGTGGGAGAGAAAGGGAAAAGATGAAGAAGATGAGGCCTGAGGAAGTGTGAGGGAGTGGAGAGTGGGTGAACGATGGAGAAGTGTGTGTGAGAGTGAATCCAGAAAGAGAGCTGTGTGAAAGAGCTGTGCCTAGGAGCTGTGTAAAGTGCTGCATGCTGTAAAAGAGATGGATAGCCGTGGCTGTGTGGAGATTTGTAACTGTGTGGAGGCAAGGAAGAGGAAGCTCGGTAGAAAAGATGTAGAAGAGAAAGAGATGAAAAGAAAAATACACAGCTATGTGAAAACTCTGTAAGATGCATGGCCATATAGGAGAGAGATGTATGTGTATATACATGTATGTATGTATGTATGTGTGTATGTATGTAAAGAGATATGTAGCTATATGTAAAAATGTAGCTCTATGAAGACAGATATTTTTAAAGAGAATTATTTAAGATGAAGCAAAAGAGAAAGCTGCCACCAGAAAGCATATGCTTCCTTATTTACCCCTCATCAAGAAAAATCTAGCCCTTGACACATACATGAATTTTTTGCATACTCTGGGTGCTGACCGGAGGCTGGATCCCCCCGTTAGCAATAGATGTGTTTAACAATGACTTTCTAACAGTCCAGACAGTCTCCCAGGTTCCTGATGTTTCCATCAGTGTGTCTCCTGCACAGAATCTCTGCTGTTGCACGTAAGAGCAGGTGAGTTGTTCCCTATCCCTCTAAAGCTGCCCTGTCTTACCACTGCAGGGTATTCCACAGGCGTTCACTGCTCTCGGGGTTTTGCCATCATTGCACCAGTATCGGCTATTGATCTGAAATATCCCGTAGTCGGTGCTTTTGTCCCCAGGGTTGTAGTTTGTAGCTCGTGTGTTATAGTTACTCTCATGCTGAGCCAAGCACACCCCTAGAAAGAAAAAGAATATTGATCAATAAGCAACAACTGCAAATGATCCATATTGGATACCAAAATTAGCTCCTTGAGATGGCTGTATTTTACAAGTGGTTTATTTTATAAGTAAAATCATATGATTAAGTTATAAACTATGCTACCACTAGTTCAGGCCAGGTCTGGCTGTGTTACTCAGGGTAGTCTCTGCCTTCAAGTTATTGTCACATCTCTGCATTTCAAGTAGGTGTAACTGCTATACCTAGTCAGCATGTGATTTTCAAGTATCCCAAAGAGAATCTCTTTGAGGACAAATCAATTTGCACTGAGAATAAACAGGATAAGGTACTTTTAAAATATTCAGGTGGATGAAGCAGTCACAGTGGTGTTCACTTTTATTCCCAGCAGTTGGTAGTCAGAGGCTGGTGAATCTATGTGAGTTTGACACCAGCCTGGTTTACATAGCAAGATCCGACCCAAACAGTGCTATACCTTGAAACCATGCTCCCTACTCCCCAAAATAAAATAGCTACTTCTTTTACTGCTTTTCCCTCCCCCATCTTTCATCAATACACTTCTGCCTAAAATAAATTTTATAAATTAATATAGTTATAATTAACATGTTTATAATTAATATATTTATAATATTATTAATTTCTAAATTAGTATTAATATTCATGTTTATATTAAATTATTAATATTAAGCATATAAGCTATTAGAAAAATGATAATTTCCTCAGAGAAATTATCTAATAACAAGTTCTAATAACAAGGTGAATTTGCATGTTAAGATAGAATTCTTTTTTTTCTTTTCTGTGTCACTAAGAATACTACTTTTGCACTGAACATGCCATCTCCTGCCTTAGTGTCCCATTGCTTGTATTCCAGGAGTGCGTATCTTCACAAATGGTTGGTGAGAATATTGAAAGCAAGAACATTAGGCTAGGAAGGGCTACTCTGCAATTCCCTCCATCCATCCACCCATTCATTCACACATACACACATCCACTCACACATCTGTCTGTTCACTTGTTCAGGGACAATTAGTTATTGAGTAGTAGCTGCCTTAATTGAATCTGAAAAGCACGCTCGTTACAATGACGTAGAGAAAGTAAGTCATGAACAACTTTTCCTCATCCCTGTCTTCCATTGTACAGAATGAAAGGTCACCCCATAGTGAAGAAGCATATTAAATCATTCATGTTCTGATCCATCAGACCTCATTTCAGCAGCAAGTTGAAGGAAATCAGATCCTCTGCCCTATAAAGGAAGTTCAAAATTTTTGAAAAGTTTTCTCCCAAAAGGTTCATACCATAGTAAGAGCAATGAAGACAGATACCAGTCACTCCAGCTTCTGAGAACTCAAGTTCTGAATGAGTGAGTCCTCCCACATTTTCTCAGCCCCCTGTGGACTATTGAGTCTGTAGCAACTGGAAAACCCAGTGTCACTCCAAGAGCACCTCAGGTCCTATTACCTTAGCCTAGCACAGGTGTCCCTTCCATGTCCTCACCCCAATATCTCTGATGAAAAAGACAAAGACTTTAGTTTTTATTAAACCAAGTCAAATACACAGGGTTCTAAAAGCTTATGGGCTCCAGTTCCCACTCTGCTCACTCATTGCTTCCTTATACCTGTTCTGTAGGGGTTTCTTATCTAAGAAGAGACTTACAGTTGGCCAGGCTGACTCCCCTGTAGCCATCCATTCCATTTCTTTTCAGAGTTCTGGCGAACTCACAGCGTTCATAGACCTTAGCCTGGACAGTGACAGAAAGCAAGAGGAATCCCAGGGTGAGAAGAGCCTTCATGTTGACCTGGAAGCTGGATCTGCTGCAGGCTGACTAAAGAAAGCAAGCCTGGTATTTAAGCATCCTCCAGGTTCCTCCTTTCTCTTGTAGCTGTGGTCTCTAACTTTTGAACTATGTGTAAAACAGGAAGTTCCTACAATTCTGCCAGTTTCAGCATTTGACCTTCTTTTCCCACAAGTTTGATAAGAGATGTTCTGGGGGTCTAGGAATAAGTGCACAGTACTTATTTTAAAGTGCTTAAATTTGTGGCTCTTTAAGATAGCAAAGGTAGTTCTGCTTCTGCATGAGGATTTTTTCTTCAATTTTATTATGAAGCTACACAACCAAAAGAAAAAAGACACAACTAATATTTACAGTTAAAAACCAGCAATTACTTTTCGCCAGCATTCCATCATATCAAATTATTGTTTGTGCATCCACCATTCTGCATTGATTTTTACTTGATCATTTTATTTGTATGTTTCCCCCAAATGGACCTGCTGCCTGTAGCAGTTCTCTAGAAGGCTACATCATGTGACATCGCATTGCTTAGCCAGTTTCTACTCTAGAATGTTTTCATTGATGTTGTTCGTTTTGTGTTACTATTATAGGTGAGGCTCCTATTAACATTGTTCCTAGCTCCTTTCACACCATGCCTCTCCTCTCCATGTTAAATCATAAAGGGTCACCATAAGCAATAGCACTTCAAAACTCAAGTGGAACCAAACACATAAATCTAATGGTTTGTAACCTTTAAAAGAGATCATCTGAGGAGACTGCTGGTATTTTTCAAATAATGTTTTTATTTGCTGTTACAGAGAAGACAATAACAAAAATTTTCCCATCTTTAATTATTATTTTTATTTTACATGTATATTTATTTTTACCTGCATGTATGTCTATAGACCCCAAGTGTGCCTGGCCTTATGGAGGCCAGAAAAGGATGTCAGATCCCTGGAGTGGAGTTAACAGTGAAGTTACAGTTATGGGCCACTGTATGGGTTCTGGAAATTAAACCTGGATCCTCTGAAAGATCCAGTCACTGATCTTACTGAGTTATTTCTCCAGCCTCTTTGGGCATCCTTAAATATGACAGTATCAGAAAGCAAACACATTGGGCCCTGGATCTGTACTGGAGGACAGATTCCATGTCACACACAGTCACCCTAATTTTCATCAGTGGCAATTACTGTGCTGGACATGCAGAGAGCCCCTCAGTATGTGTTTGTCATTCTTAGTCAAAGTGAATGTCCTGATCTAATGTGTCTATTAGAAAGGGAAGTGGTTTCCTAAATATAACACCAGTAGCACAGACACTGAGAGAAACAAGTAATAAATGGGACCTCCTGAAACTGAAAAACTTCTGTAAAGCAAAGGACACAGTCAACAAGAGCAAGTGACAGCCTACAGAATGGGAAAAGATCTTCTCCAGTCCCACATCAGACAGAGATCTGATCTCCAAAATATACAAAGAACTCAAGAAATTGGACACCAAAAGATCACATAATCCAATAAAAAAAATGGAGTACAGACCTAAACAGAGAACTCTCAACAGAGGAATCTAAAATGGCTAAAAGACATCCTTAGCCATCAGAGAAATGCAAATCAAAACAACTCTGAGATTCCATGTTACACCCGTAAGAATGGCCAAGATCAAAAACACTGATGACAACTTATGCTGGAGAGGTTGTGGGTAAAGGGAACACTCCTGCATTGCTGGTGAGAGTGTAAGCTGGTACAGCCCCTTTGGATGTCAGTATAGTGATTTTTCAGAAAATTAGGAAACAACCCTCCTCAAGACCCAGTAATACCATTTTGGGGTATATATCCAAAGAATGCTCAATCATGTCATAAGGACATGTGCTCAATTATGTTCATAGCAGCATCATTTGTCATAGCCAGAACCTGGAAACAACGTAAATGCCCTTTGACTGAAGAATGGATAAGGAAAATGGAGTACTACACAGCAGAAAAAATGACATCTTGAAATTTGCAAGCAAATGGATGGAACTAGAAAACATCATTTTGAGTGAGGTAACCCAGATACAGAAAGAGAAATATCATATGTACTCACTCATAAAGCAAAGAAAACCAGCCTACAGTTCACAACCCCAGAGAACCTAGACAACAATGAGGACTTTAAGAGAGACATATATGGATCTAATCTACAAGGGATCTAGAAAAAGACAAGATCTCCTGAGTAAATTGGGAGCATGGAGGCCTTGGGAGAGGGTTGAAGGGGAGGGAAAAGGCAGGGAGGGGAGAAGAGAAAAATATAGAGCTCAATAAAATCAATTTTTAAAAAGGGAAGTGGTGGTGTTAAAGTATTTGTCCAGTGTTAGGAGATATGGATAGAGACAAGATTTAATCTTACCTTATTATTCCCTTAAGATAATACGCTGAGCAAAAAATTTAAAAATAAAATAGCAAACAAAATAGCATAATTTCTGGGCAGGATTTGTTCTTAGAGAAATTTAATATATACTACATGTTTTATTCAGTAAACTATATGAATTTTGTCATCTTAAGAAAGATGGCAATATTTCCCAGGTTTTTGTCATATTGCAATGAACTATTATTTACTTATTTCTTTTTTTCTTAGGTTTGTTTGTTTGTTTTAGAGAAGGCCACGTTGGGTAGTCCTGGTTGACTGAGTTTGTAGGAATCTTCTTGCCTCTGTCTCTAAGTGCTGGTATTATGAACATTTCCATAAAACCCAGCACAGCTTCCTTTTGCTTATCCTTGGCTCACAATCTATTTAGCTTCCTTGTGACCAAAAGTAGAAGAAAATTAATCCTTTATGCCAAGTGAGGGTGAGGATGGGGGACTTCAGGCCTAGAAAAAGGAATCCATGAAGATTCTCTCTAACTTTTGACTAATGTCTAAAATGCAAACCAACTGTAAAATGCAAGAATTTGCCACAATTTATGATGTTTCTAAAGAATGCCCATGGGGGTGGGAGGATAGACACACAGTTCTGACTTTCCTCCTGCAAATTCCATTGAATGTTGACTAAAGATTCTATAATGCTTACAGTAGGTGGAACCAACTGCTTTCTTTACCACATACTCTTGATGCTGAGGTGGGAGTTTATTGGAGCACAGGCATTGGAGAGCAGCCTCAGAACCACAGTGAGACACGTTCCCCAAAAACAAACAAAGAGGCTGGAGAGAAGGCTTGTCAGTCAAAAACATTGACTGTTCTTGTAGAGAACCCAGCTTCAGTTCCTAACACCCATATAGTGACTCAGAACCATATGGAACTCCAGTGCAGGGGATCTGACACCTTCTTCTGGCCTCCACAAGACCAGGTACACATGTGGTTCACAGTCACACATGTAGGCAAAACATCCATACACATAGAAATGAATAAATACTTTTAAGTATGTAAGTCAACAAGGGCAATGGAAGCAGAGAAGGTAAGAGGACAGATGTGAAAAAGCTCAAACAGTTTGTATCAAGATAGAAAATGGTAGTCTAGAAGGCAGGGGAGCTGACACCCAAGTGTGCAGAATGGGGAGTCACAGAAAATCAAGGCTGGTTGGCAGTCTCTATACAGAGCAGTTAAACCTGCAGGAGAGCAGATGGTTGACCTTTGAGTCTGCAGAGATAGGCAGGAAGTCATTCTTTGAGATGATGAACTAGATTCTGGATTTGACCATCATCCATTACACAGCTGGGTTCTAAAATATAGATTGTGATACAATGCTGCCTGGTATTTGGGAGGGAAGAAATAGAAAAGGGGAGGGAGGTGAGTCACAAGAAAAGGGCAGACGCTGAGCTACAGTTTTGAGCTCGGAAGCTGTTGTGTGGAAGCACCATGCTTGGTCAGTTAGCCTGAAAAAGAGCAGTAGCCTAGTAAGATTCTACTGTGCACTGAACCCCAAGACCTCAGGAGGATTTACTGTTGTCGCTGCAGCTGCCACTGCTGTCTCATGCTCTCTGCCCATTTCCTCATTTCCTATGCTCTGCCTTGCCTCCTCTGCTGAGGACAACAATTAGCAGTTTGAAGTTCACCCGCATGTTGTCAGAATGCAGTGTCCTTTCTTATTCTCTTCAGCAGCATTTTGAGTGTTTTTATTACATTTTTGCCTGCAACTTTCTTTCTTACTGGTCTTAAGAAAGTACAAGTTACGCATGTTCCTGTGGAGCTGTGGGTGGGTGGTCAGTGTTGTGAAAGGAGGCCATGTGCGGAAAAGGCAGGGAGGAGAGGGCATGCACATCTAAAGCAACCAACAAAACCAGTTTCAAAAGAAAAGCATTTCTGTGTAAGAGATACCGAATGTTAAGACACTTCTGTAGATATGTTTGAAATGGGAAAACAGTCTTAGGAAAAGTGTCCTTGGTTTTAAGCTCTTAACTAACTGTTAACAGTCTTCTATATTGGGTGTCTGCAGTCTAACACCCTCAGTGGACAGTGCTGGTCCCAAGCTGTTTAACTAGCAACTCCAATTGCCTATGCAAGCCATTTACTTGTTCCTCAGGAACCAGGAAGGTTTTGCCTTTGTAGAGTTTATAGGATAATGATGAGGTGAAAACAGCTCTCATGTGTGAATTGTCCAGTTAGCTCCAGTGTCTGTTTGGGAATAGACAGGATGATAATCTAGTGGGGGAAGTTTCCTCTAAGACCTACATAACAAGTACCCCAATGAGAGACATGTGGAAATTTAGGTAGACTGGGACTGAAGGACAGTGGAAGGACTGAAGAACATGGGGTTTGATTCCTCACTCACAGACATCTGTAATTCCTGTCCCACGGGATTCAATGCCCTATTTTGTGTGCACATACTTCACATACATACATACATGCAGGCAATACATTCATACACATAAAAAAGAAGACCATGGCAAGAGAAGGCTGGGGAAGGCACTGAAAGCAGTACAGGGTAGCTATTGAACAGCAAGGAAGATGAGATTGAAGGGCAGGCCCAGACCTAAGTGCTTAACCCCCAAAGCAATGGAATCTACAATTTAACCCCAAAGACAAGCAGGAACTATTTATGAGTACTAGCCTGGAGAGTAACAGACTCAAAATCTTTTCTAAAAACCATGTTAGATTGGGCCTAAGAGAGCTGCTGTACATCCACCATACCTGGGTGCCAGAGCATATTGGGGCCTGGGTAGAAGTAAGAAGCTGCAAGAGGTATTTCTGAGAATGGAGAGTCAAGAGTTGGTCACTGTCTAGACTGTGTGGCTATAAATGAAAAAGAAATAATGTTCACTTTTACTTATCAAATGTTCCAAGCTTTAAAGTTCTCACAAAAGTCATATGCATGAATATCCACTTTACAGATGAATAACAGATGTACTGCATGGCAAAGGAGGTAGCCAGGAAGACGCAGTAAGTGGCTTGGATTTAGAGTCAGGTAAGTTCACTCCTCTTTTATATCCACTACAGTACCTTGTAGAATTTAATTAAAAGGAGAATAAAGTCTTTCTGGACTCAATTCTAACCCTTGACACACTGTAAGGTATCCGTCTATCCACCCCAGTTCTCACCCTACACTATATATATATATTGCAGAACTTATGCTCATATGTATATGGACATGAGTTTTCAGGCTAAAAGTTGGCTCTGTAGTTAAGAGTAATTGTCTCTCTTGCATAGAACAGGGTTCAGTTCCCAGCGCCCATATGGTGGCTTTCAACCATCTGTAATTCCAGTCCCAGGTCATCTGACACACTGTTCTGACCTCTAAGGATAGCAGGCATGAACATGATACACAGGCATATGTGCAGGCAAAGCATCCCCACACAAAAGATAAAAATAAAAATAAATATTTTTTTAAAAATCTAAGATGTGAGTTTTCTCTTAAGATGTTTGTCTCCTACCAGGGAATGCTCCTAAGAATCTGAAGCGCAGCTGTGAACAGGCATCCCAGCTGCTGGTCAGCCTTTTGTATGAACACTTTCCCAATTCTCATTGTTTCTGCTATCTTAAGCTTTCAGACCAATGTACATAGAACCCGGGATGGAAGGCTTCCTCTTTGTACATGATAAGCAGATGTTTCCTTCCTACTTTAGCTACACTGTAAAAACACGTTCTGGGTTTACACAATGACTGGGTATTTCACATTAAGAAATATAATTGGAAAATTATAGTGCAATCTCTTAAGTACATTTTCAAACATTTATGAAATTCAGTCTTGTTCCCATTTTTGCTTCCTGTTTTCAAGGTTTCATTTCTGTATTCAGCGTGATTTTTGCATTTGAGGTTCCATAAACTGTTTCCATTTGTGTCTATGCAACAGTATACTTATTAAATTCACTTTCACTTAACTAGAGATTGTTTATTTCAACTTCTGAGCTGTAATAACAGTACAAACTGTTGGGAAGGTTGAGTAAACTGTCACAAACTAAAACTTTAACATCTTTTCTTTCCTCCTTTCCTTGGTGCTGGGGATCAAATCCAGGGTTTTTGGATCCCTGTTCTACCACAGAGCCTCAGCCCAAATATGTATGTATTCATATAACAGAAGATGGCCACCTCTTCCCTTTCTACAACACTCTTATTTTGAACAATAGTAATGGTAATTTAAGGTTGCTTTTGTTTTCAGGTCCCCATACATATTTCCCTTTGCTCTCTTCCCTCAGATTGCAGGCAAGCAATGTCCCATTGCCTTCTACCCTCACTTCTAAGATATACAGATGGTCACTCTAGACCATATTACTCCTCTGTCTGTCTGTCCTCTAGCTCTTGGAGATATCTAGATGTTGGCATGGGACACTCTACCTCTTAGTCAAGTAGAAATTGAACTCTGAAACACAACACCATTTATACATTAAAAATGTATTTGGGAGGACAAAATGGTTTTTATTAGAGGTAAGGAAATACATATAGCAGGTATATATAGAGAAAAGACCCTCTGCAAAACAAAATGAGGATTTGGAAAGCCAAAGCCCATCCTCTCCTTGAGAGCCATTTTGTTTGCTTGTTTAACTCTTTGAGGGGATTTAACCCTAAGTTAGGGTTAGTTGGTTAGAAGAAAATCCATGAGGTCTTTGTTTCAAGCTACTGGGTTTTGTCTCTGGTCAGAAGAGTGAGGAAGAAGTCAGTTATCATCTTTATTACCTAGTCATGGTCCCTTTCCCTATCTGTCTGTCTATCACGGAATCTGTCTAACTTATTTTCTCCTCTCAGAGGTCAACCTAACCGTTGAAGGTCTGGGGTAGCTCTAATTGTTTCCAAGCTGGCAAAGATGGTGATATACAAGGGGTAGCAGTTAGAATGCCTCAGAGGATAGCCAATCTAATGAGCCACAATAAGATAAAATTCAACAGATGGCAAAGATCCAGGATGTGAGATCGCCCTGTGAGGGTAACATGGATCATTGAAGTAGGTTATGTGAGGTAGGTAGTGTCTGTAACCCACAGAAAATGAGGCTCTTAGCACTTCTATAATCTCTACTGAGAGTGTAGTTTAGAAAAAGATGTGGCAGTTTGGGCCTCATTAGAGGAAAAGAACAAGCAAGAAAACCATCCAAGGAACTCTTGGCAGGCTTCGTCATTGCTGTGCACTGCACGATCTATACCCTGAAGGAGGCCACTTGACATGGGATTCCCTGCTGTATGCTGTGAATACCACTGGTTAATTTTAAAAAAACAACTGTCTTGAGCCTATAGCAGAGCAGGGCAGAACAGAGAAAGGTAGGAAATACTAAACCAAATGCTGGGAGAAGGAAGGTAGAGTTGGAGAAGCCATGTAACCCCGCCAGAAACAGATGCTGGAATTTTACCTGGTAAGCCACAGCCATGTGGTGATATACAGATTAATAGAAATGGGTTAAATTAAGATGTAAGAATTAGCCAATAAGAAGCTACAGCTAATGGGCCAACCAGTGATTTAAATAATATAGTTTCTGTGTGATTATTTTGGGAGTCTGGGCGGCCAGGAAACAAACAAGCAGCCTTCCTCACAACAGCCATTAGTTTGGCTACAGAGTTTAAGACTTCTCGCTGGCCAGTGTAAGTTCAGTTGACCACAGACTCTCCTCCATTACAACCTCAGGGGGAACATAAAGAGATGAAGACAGTGAGAAAAACTCTTCAACATTTTGATTAACATAAGTCCTATTTAAGGTGATGTGTAATCATATTGATTGCTGGACCATGTATCAGAACTCTGTAGAAGAGTAAGGTCGGGGAAGTAGGTGCTGAAGTTTTGGGTGACATAAGTTTTGTTTGTTAGGTCAGAGTGTGGCTGTGCAAATAGCTGTTTGTTAGGTCAGAGTCATGCACATAGAGCAAATGACTGGAAACTCTGTAAGAGAAGTCAGTTAAAATAATTGCCATTTTAGCCATACCCCCCCCCACCTGGTTATAGTGCCTCTGCCCGTGTACCAGACACAATGTCCAGTGAGGGAGAACACTAGGGCAGACCTGAGTGAAGTCCAGATTCTATTCACTGAGGTCACAACCAGACAACACAAAACTAGAAGAGAAAGACAACCCCATAGGATTTTTCAGCAGTTTCTCAGAGATATCACTCAGGTAATCCTGAATCATTTTCCTGAGTTTGTAAGTTTGACACAGAGTGTCTGGCAGCCCCCTTAAATCAGGCAATGAATACATTTATGTTTCAGGTAACATTACACATTACTCTTCCAGAAAAAGAATAATTCAGAGTTTATAAAATACATTTTTTTTTTTAGTCAAGAAGGGATTCATTAGTGGGAAATAGTTTTTCAATACCATCTTACATGGTTAAGTATAATGTCTGAGCACTCCAGTCCTTGAACCAAGAAAAAAAACTGTATTGATCATTTTAACCCTGACTATACATTCCTACTGGCTGTTTAAGACCATGTAGATGACCATAAGCAATCACTTTCTTTTCAATGTCAAACCAGCTTAAGATGGAGTCATCAGAGGGCTTGGGAGGAACCTCTGATCCTCTGCTCTCTTCTTACCAGTCAGTCCATCTAAGTGAAGACACACCAAGGGCCTTGCTTAAGCATTGCTTCCTTACCCTTTTCAGCATATATATGCGTGTGTGTGTGTGTGTGTGTGTGTGTGTGTGTGTGTGTATTATTTTGTCCCCCAAGACAGGGTTTCTCTGTGTAGTCCTGGCTGTCCTGGAACTCACCATGTTTTGCATACTAGCTGGGAGAAATGTGGGTGGATACTCTGGCAAAGATCCAGTGACCCTATCCATCCTCTCTTTTTATGAAAGAACACTTGGAGTCAGCAAGGTCAGTTGAGCAGATGTTTTTGAAAGTAGGCATGCTCATGAAAATGGCAGCTGCTCAGCTTGGGAGGTGGTGCTGTGCCAAACCTTATTAATAAGATAAAGTTGAATCCAGGCTACATATAGAATTAAAAAAATTAGGATTACATATATTTTTAATTATGAGACTTTTTGTTATAAGTCTCAAGCACCCCCATGCCCCTTGATTGGACTTTTACATCTTTTTTTTTTTTTTTTTTTGCTTGTGGTTTCACAAAACCTGAGAATTAAAAAAAAAAAAAAATAGAAAGTGTTTGGCACATTATCAAAATTCCTTGAAGGAATACAACAAATAAGAAAAGGCAGAAAAGAAAACACATACAGGGGGCTGGAGAAATGGCTCAGTGGTTAAGAGCATTGTCTGCTCTTCCAAAGGTCCTGAGTTCAATTCCCGGCATTTTGGCCTGCAGGCATACATGCAGACAGAATATTGTATACATAATAAATAAATAAATATTAAAAAAAAAGAAAACACATACATAGAACCAAAAATCATTACATGTTTATCTTGTAATCACAGTTTTAGATGATAGAAGACACCCCTCTTTGTTTTAACTATGATAGATTAGTGTACAGACCATGGTTAGAAAAGTCATTTTCTTCCCTTTTACTATGACCTTGAAATCTACCAAGGGTGGAACCCAAAACAAGAATTGCTGACTCTCCTAGTTCTCAAAGATTGAGAAATAATATATTTTACATTTTATAGTTTGCACTGCCTGTGGAAAAATCTACTCCTGCAACCATGCTTTGTTCTGTTCATGGAGTGATCGACTGTAGCCATGCTTTGTCTGTTCATGGAGTGATCGACTGTAGCCAAGCTTTGTCTTTGAATGCCGATAGAGAGAAGCAGCAGATCTACATGTACAAGCTCCACTAGAAACCAACTCAGGAAGCCTGTTTGAACTTTACATCAGAGTTACTGGCTGATGGCCTTTTAGGCAGAAACTCCTCTCCAAGGATGAGCTCCCGTTAGCCATTTTGGAGGTTTTTGTTGCTGTTGCTGATGTTTTCTGTTTGTTTGTTTTTACCATAGACATTTTTATATCATGAGAAAAGCAATAGTATACTGTGTTGGAAATAGCTCAATCACCCGCTTGCTGTCTTTGAGGGCACAATGCCTTTACCCTTCGGGTGTTTTGTTCTCAGCCTGACCCAGGACAGGGATTTTGAGGCTGTTTTGAGACAAACATGCTTGAGATTGAAGTGGGAGGCCCAAATCCCACCTCACAACCAGAGCCAGCTTCGGTGAGTTTAAACAGCACAGGAAAATTCGCCAATATAACACAAAAAATATTTGCTTCTCTGTAAATCTGGAGTCAGTCACTTATGCCCGACAGGAAACTTGTGTTGAGTGCTGTAACAAGTGGCTGGATCCACCAGCATGGAATTTTCTGATGAGTCTTACCTGTGGGGTCTTGCTTTGGAAAAGGGAATTGACAAGAGACACAACAGCATTTTGTTTTCTTTTGGAGTACTATAGGGAGCATTTATTTTAAAAGGCTATTCTGTGGTTTCTTCAAACTTGGTAAGGACGTGGGTGCATGGCAGTCTGTCCTCATGAACAAACTGACAGAGGTATCTGCCTTTACCAGCGTCTAATTTGGGATCCCTTCCTGACTAGTCTGGAAAATCAGCTGCTTGAAAACCTGTCCTCACAAACATTGTATGTTTGCAAATGGAGGCAGACATCCAAAATCTGGAAAGTACAGTCCCTCTACACAAAAGGGGGTGGTGCTTTGTTTTTTATTTCCTTGGAGTTAGGAGAGCAAGGGTATTCAGAACACCAAAGCTTTTGAGATTCCCAGAGAGATCAGATTACATCCTCAGGGATTCCTGTGATCAAAACTTTTTAAGGACATGACTTTTTTAAATTTTGCACCAGGGTTTGTTGGATCCTATATATTCATCCTGCAGCTTTTTAACACATTCTGGGTGGTCTTGCGGGTAAAGAAAAATTTGGACATAAGGATTTTCCCTCTTGGTTACAGAAAGGCTTCATGGGTTGAAAAAAAGCCTAAAGTTTTCTTCCTAAATTTTTAGGGGTTTAACTTGTTCCATCTGTCCAAAAGACAAGCCAGCAGGGACCCTGAAGAAAGCTTCTATACCCATCTGTAAAGCAAAACCTAAGGTGCAAAAGACCGATGAAGGGCCACTTAATCCTCAAGTTTCCCAACCCAGTAAAAAAGCAGGCATCTCCTAGGTAATGGAAGAAGTTGTCAGATTGTCCTAAACACCATAGAATCAGTTTCCAGTGTGGGACTAATTTGTGCTTACCCATGCCTGCAGGCCAGGAACCCAGTAGTTTTCAATTATACCCCAGATATCACTACTGAAAGTATATTAGCTCCCTCTTAACTTTATCCGTAGGACAGATCATAGTGAGAAGCACCTGCAGATGGAACTTGTCTTTTTCCTAGAAGCAACACAGTGGCTCAAGGTCCTGTTTGTGATGATTTAACTAAAGTACCTCCTGTCCCATGCAGAGGAGTACAGGAGGACATCAACATATCCCAGAGCCTGAACAAGTGATAGACAAGGAGAGCCTCCAGGGCCAACATGAGCCCTGAAAGCTTCTGGGTGGAATATAACGATGGTAGGGTTCCTCCAGGTGAAATAGAAAGGGGAAAAGCTCCTCTGCCTAAGGGTTTCCCTGATCATTTGTTTGTTCTTAATCCATAGCTCTGTATTATGTCTTGTTGTTATTGTTCAGACAGGAAAAGAGCATGATACGCACCTGTGGTCATTTTTTTTTTATTTATTTAAAGGGGGCTATAGAAAGGAGACAGAGACAGAGACCCACATTGGAGCACCGGACTGAAATCTCAAGGTCCAAATCAGGAACAGAAGGAGAGAGAGCACGAGCAAGGAACTCAGGACCACGAGGGGTGCACCCACACACTGAGACAATGGGGATGTTCTATCGGGAACTCACCAAGGCCAGCTGACCTGGGTCTGAAAAAGCATGGGATAAAACCAGACTTGCTGAACATAGCGGACAATGAGGAATACTGAGAACTCAAGAACAATGGCAATGGGTTTTTGATCCTACTTCACGTACTGGCTTTGTGGGAGCCTAGGAAGTTGGGATGCTCACCTTCCTAGACCAGGATGGAGGTGGGTGATCCTTGGACTTCCCACAGGTCAGGGAACCCTAATTGCTCTTCGGGCTGATGAGGGAGGGAGACTTGATCGGGGGAGGGGGAGGGAAATGGGAGGCGGTGGCGGGGAGGAGGCAGAAATCTTTAATAAATAAATAAATTTAAAAAAATTAAAAATAAAGGGGGTTATAGATTCTAGATTGAGAGCTCTCTCTGCAATTCACCACATGTAGACTGAGTTTAATCCCTGTAATCTAGAGAACAGTAAACATAGAAAGCAACATTTAAACCTCCCTCTGTAGCTGGCTTTTTCCCCCTTACTTTCTGCTGTTTGGGGAGATGTGGGGAGCACCACCCAGCAACCAAATAAACACATGGAGACTTATCATTATTTACAAATGACTGGCTGTTGCTAGACAGCTTTTTAAAAAATTATCCCTTCTACCTTTGCCTCTAGACTTTTATCTCTCTTTATTCTACATACCTTTCTTACTTCTTACTCCATGGCTAGCTGTGTTGCTGGGTAGCTAGCCGTTGGAGTCTTTTCTCTCCTCCTTTTCTCCCTCCTCGCTCTTCTCTCTTCCCTATTTATTCATCTCTATTTATTCTCTCTGCCCACCAACCCTGCCTATTTCTCTTTCCTGCCTAGTTATTGGCTGTTCAGTTCTTTATTAGAACAAGCAGGTGTTTCAGGCAGGCAAAGTAATACAGCTTCACAGAGTTAAACAGATGTAACAGAAAAGAATACAATACATTTTGCATCATTAAACAAATATTCCACAGCATAAACAAATGTAACACATCTTCAACTAATATTCCACAACATCCCTCTGTTACTGTAACTGAAAGGTAAAAGCAAGGGTACCCAGAATGCCAAGGGACTGGGGCAAAAGCAGACAAGTGTGGAACAAAGGATTATGGTGGCAGGGAGAGGATAATTTTCTTTCTTAGGTAGAGGCACCAGGTAGAAAGAACAGGCACTAAGACCCAGCAGAACTTTTTACCCAGCCTCTTACCCAAGCAGGCTGATCCTGTCTCGGCTATAACAGCAGTTTATCTCGAGTCCCCATTGGGATCTACTGGGATCTACGCTTTACCAGCAATCATGGCTGGGCCACCACAGACCTCAAAGGATTAGTTCCCTTTGTTAGTAGGCCAGTGTTGGTGGCACACGACTGGGAAAACCCTCTAGAAACCAGAAAATATAGCATATAAAACAATGTGTCAAAATTAAAACACAACTAAAAAACTGAAAGAAAAAAATACCTTGGACATCTTGTGTTGCCTCCTTGGTCTAATATAAAAAAGGGTACAGTAATCCCCAGAAGACTCAGTGGGACCTGAATGATTTTGTCTGCTTATTTGTTTGGCTTTTTTGTTTGTTTGTTTGTTTTTCAAGACAGGGTTTCTTTGTACAACAGTCCTGGCTGTCCTAAAACTCGCTTTGTAGACTAGGCTGGCCTCAGACTCACTGAGATCCGCCTGCCTCTGCCTTCTAAATGCTGGGATTAAAGGTATGCACTGCCGCCATGTGGCTTTTTGGTTTGGTTTGGTTTGGTTTTGTGACCTGGTGATGCCATTTCATTTTATACAATGTAGTTTCATTAACAAGATGGTGGTGAATACACTTGGCATTTTCTCTCTTTATAATATCATTAACTAGTAAAGATAGTGGTTGCCTCCATCTTACTGAGATCTCCAGCCAAGATGGTAGCAAACCACATGGTTGCTTTCTGCTCATGGTAAGCTCATCTCCATAATAAAGCGATCCTATCACCCATCAAAGCCCAAGTCCCTGTGGGGTCACTCATCTCGAAGACTAAAGTCAGTGTGAGGTTTCTCTCAGACAGCTTCTAGAAAGAAAGAAGGAGAAAATTTAGCCACTATCCAATTTTTAGGTCAGAACAGTAGTGGACCTGTCTCCCTCTCAGAGTTGGAGAAGGGACAGGGAAGGATGTGAGGGATTGGCACTTTGAAAATTCTCAGGGTTTGTCTAAGACACACAGAGTAACTTTCCAATTCTTCCTAAAGAATATGCCTGCTTGATTTCTCAGAAAATTAGGAAACAACCTTCCTTAAGACTCAGCAATACTACTTTTGGGTATATACCCAAAGGATGCTCAATCATACCACAAGGACATGTGCTTAACTATGTTCATATCAACATTGTTTGCTGTAGCTAGAACCTAGAAACAACCTAAATGACTCTTGACCGAAGAATGGATAAGGAAAATGTGGTACATTTACACATTGAAGTACTACACAGCAGAAAAAAATAATGACATCTTAAAATTTGCAGGCAAATGGATGGAGCTAGAAAACATCATATTGAGTGAGGTAATCCAAACACAGAAAGACAAATATAATATATACCCACTCATAAGTGGCTTTTAAACATAAAGCAAAGAAAACCTACCAATCACAATCCCAGAGAACTAGACAACAATGAGGACCCTAAGAAAGACATACATATATCTAATCTACAAAGGAAGTATAAAAAGACAAGATCTCCTGAGTAAACTGGGAGCATGGGAACCATGGGAGAGGGTTAAAGGGGAAGGGAAATGATGGGAGGGGAGCAGAGAAAAATGTATAGCTCAATAAAATCAATAAAAAAGAATATGCCTGCTTCTAGCACCCAGTGTGAGCTAACATCGCTGTGGAGCCAAATCTTAGGTTAATAGAGAATCTGGACTGCTCTTCAGTCTCGAGAGGGAGGAGGAATGGAGTGGGGGGAGGGGGAGAGAAGTGAGGAGATGGGGAGGGGAGTGGGGGGAGGGAGCGATGTGTGGGAGGAGGGGGAGGGAAATGGGAAACGGGGAGGAGGTGGAAATTTTTTTCAACAACTAAAAAAAAATAAACAAAAAAATTAATGAATTTCAATTCTTCTTCACAGCTCTCATGTCACCAAACAGTTTAACTTCTTCCTATGATACACACACCATTAATTAGGTTTAGAAGGAGAGTTATCTAAGTGGACCTTCTTGGTCAGAGGAAAGAAAATAAAATTACCATTAAACCTGCCACAGTGCAAACTGTGCCTTTAATCCAGCACTTGAGTGACAGAGAAAAACAGATCTCTGTAAGTTTGAGGCCAGTCTCATCTACATAGTGAGTTCCAAGACAGCCAAAGCTACACAGTGAGACCCTGTCTCAAAATAGATAGATGATAGATAGATAGATAGATAGATAGATAGATAGATAGATAGAATTACCATCCCATTTCAAGGTGGGGCGAGGAACCAGTAATTCAATAGCCACACCTGCCTATCCCTTCAGGTTTGGTCTGATTTACACTTACTTTATGAGTCAGTGGTCCACAGAAGAAATCCCGAGATGAGACCCAAAGAAATATTATCATCTAGGGGTCTTGATCAAGGTTATTTTTCTCTGCCAATTAAAGCATTAAAAAGCAGGGGAATTCTTGAGTGTGACAGGTGTAATGGCATAAATGAATGCAGACAGATTGTAAATATATATATATATATATAGCTTTAATGGCAAAATAGACTTACAGAACCACCATTCCCGCAGAGACCAGGAAAGCAGAAGGGACAGCTGGGAGCACGCTCGCCAAATTTATAGGCAAACATTAGCCCGAGGCGAACATGCCCCCCAAGGGACGGGACTTATCCCTACAGACAGGTAATGGCAAAAAAAAAAAAAAAAAATGTCAAGCACAGCAATCAGGAGCAGACAAAACCAGGTGGTCCAGGAAGGCTTCAGTACTGGTGGTGAGGAAGCACGCATACAGCAAGTATGCAGAGAGAAAAGACCCTCTCCAAAGTGATGGAGGAAGGTCATTGGTTAAATAAAAAGAAACTGCTTGGCCCTCATTGGTTAGAAGATAGGTGGGAGGAGTAAACAGAACAGAACGCTGGGAGGAAGAGGAAGTGAGCTCAGACTCCACAGCTCTCCTCTCGGGAGCAGACGTCTCAGAGAGACGCCATGCTCCCAGCTCCCAGGCAGACACACGCGATGAAGCTCTGACCCAGGATGGACATAGGCTAGAATCTTCCCGGTAAGCGCACCTAGGGGCGCTACACAGATGATTAGAAATGGGCTAAATTAATATGTGAGAATTAGCCTAGAAGAGGCTAGATAGAAATGGGCCAAGCAGTGATTAAATGAATACAGTTTGTGTGTTGTTATTTCGGGCATAAGCTAGCCAGGCAGCCGGGGTGCTGGGGACGCAGCCTCGCCGCCCTTATTACTACACCAAAGCAGAGATGAGACCTGGGATGTCAAAGCCCTACACGTGGGTCTTTTGATAAGGCTAACTAATCTATAGGTGAGGGCTGCTATCTGTGTCTCACATAATTCTTTTGGAAAATAGTGTGAACTAAGACCCCTGAAAAGAAGCTGTTTCTGCAGTGACAGACTGAGTGGAATTTCAGTTCTGTGGAGAGGCTGGAACGTCACAGCTCCAGACACCAATTACCTTCTCTTTGACTTCTGTTAGCCCCAGAACAGCCATCCCTTGCCCATCTCACTGTTGGAACTAGCATCCTGTGACTTAAAGATTAAAAAACTTTTGGAATCAATTAACTTGGCAGATTCACTGACTTCCACCAACCCCAAAAGTAAAAATGGCATCAGATAGAATCTTAGGCTTATAGAAAAGCTTCCCCATCTTGCTGTAACCACCTCTCTGATGTACCCATCAAAGTACTTTAAAGTTGCCTTGAGTTATGACTTTCTTTTCCTGCAAAACAATAAAA